GATATAATTTATCAAGTGGTCCGTTTTAGCGATTTTCACATTTGCCATAGGTCATTCGTAGGCGAGCGTTGCATGTTATGGGATTTAAGTGTTCTTATGAGCAAGTAGTATACTCCGAACTCGCACCTATCAGTGTCACTATCAGTTTATTGAGGGAAAGATAGGCGAACGCCTTTGAACTCCCTATTGGTAACTTTCTGCTTTTGGCATTTTCCAAAATGGGAGGCGGAGGAACTGCCACATCGTCGATTACACAACAAGTGCTTTGGAAAAGGGCTTCGAAGTAGACGTAGTGTACATTAATTTCCGCAATGTCTTTCATAGCGTGCACCATCAAAGGCTTTTACATAAACTCAGCGTCCTTGGCATCAGGGGGAAACTTCTGAACTGGGTCAGGACATTTTTGGTCGGTCGAAAACAATGCGTTTGCGTCAGAGAAGATGAATCGGACTGGGTAGACGTGGTTATTGGTGTTCTTCGAGGCTCCGATTTCGGTTCTGTACTCTTCATCTTCTTTGTTAATGACAGCCTTTAAGACCTGGACTGCAGTAAGATCATATATACCGGCGACGCTAAGCTCTCGCAGATCATTAAGCGTCCGAGAAGCTCTTCAAAATAATTTTTACAGACCGCAGATGTGGTCCGAAAGATGGTTCCTAGGTCTCAATTTGCAAAAGTGTGTCGTCCTCCACCTGCGTCGAACGAGCTACTCTATACCTCACAGCTTTAGGACACATTACCTGAACGACATTAACATTTTCGTAAAATCTTCACAGAAAGACCTCGGCATTTGGACACATAGCAATCTGAAGCTACCGTTACAATGCGTCAAAGCTGCAAACAACCGCATTGGAGTACTGAACATCATAAAAAAAGACGTTTGTTGCTTTCAGCAAGGATCTTTTCGGCAAAGTGTACGGGACCTTCGTTCGACCACATTTAGAATATAGCATACAGGGGTGGCCACCATGGCTTGTGTAAGACAACATGTATCGAGAATGTGCAGCGTCGGGCAAAAAAACCACTCTGTATGACAGGCAACAAAGAGAGGATTTTATCTTAGTTTAAAAGATAGTGCACGGCCTTGAGGAAGAACTGCGCCTTCGAGGACATGTTTAAGTGGCAGCTCTCGCCTCATTTCCGTGGATAGACAATGAGGCTGCACAGGGAAATGTCCAAGCCTAATCTCCGTTCTGAATTCTTCACGCAACGGGCCATACAACAGTGGAATAACCTCCCACAACCAGTCATCGAGGCCACGTCCCTCAGCTGTCCAAGCAACGCTTGAATAATTACATGTGTCCCCTATTGTCCCTTGACAGCATGAACTCGAACTAACACCATTTGTAAAAACAATGCTACTCACTGTTTGTCAATACCATTTTAATAGAAGGGAGAGTAGAGTTAACGGAAGTTTAAGCAACCAATCAGTAGTAATGAGGGGGATAAGAGGGGTAGGAGAAAGGATCCAACAATGAGTTCGTGTCGTCCTTGGTTCGAATTTTGTTGGGAGGTGTGAGGACGCAAGGTGTCATTTTCTTGTAACGGCGTGAGTGGCCGGAGGATGCTTGCTGTCGGGACCTCGTCACTGTTTCGCGACGTGGTAAGAGGCGTGGGGGGCGGATGTTGAGTTAGTATTCGGCCACGGGAGCCTTGGGGCCTCTACAAACGCCTTCTGCGCACATAAGATTGGGTTAGTGAGGCGT